GCATACATATTTTATTGACTTTATTGAACTGATTATCTCAACATTTATTTGAGCAATAAAARTACGGGTTGAAGAAATTGGGTTGTATGTAACAACCCACCTGTTATCAAAGGCAATCGTATAGCCAATGATATTAATAATATTAGATATTGATTGATATAGATGGTTTGATATTGTATACTTACAACCACTTAATTTTTACATTTAGGGGTTGAATTTCCAAAAATCCTTTCTTAAAGCACGACGAAATTATAATATTAATCCATCCTGAAAATTTCAAGCAGATCTGCCCTGTGGTTTGGGCTTTACGGTGATCCCTCCGGAGGACAAATTCCTTTATATATATTATTATAGTTTATACATATAGATTTTTTAACACTCATTTACACACATTTTTTACCAATCTTACTTTGAAGTTTACAGTTCTAAGCCTATAAAATTGAGAAGGATAAAATATGTGCATATAAAATGTAAACTATAGTTAAATTATAAACCGTATTTTAAACTGAACAAAAAATTGTGTTAATAACTAATGYCCACCTTTTTTTAGTTATGAGTTTATGACAGTACATTTTTATTAATAATCAAAATTATAAATTGGTCGTACTATAGTGGTTTTTGTTGTGCAGGTACTGGACGGACCACAAGTCGGCGCAGATGGTCGATCAGAAGGTGCAGCACGCACTCTTCATGTTCGCGTGCACCAATTCGTGTATGAACCCGATCGTATACGGAGCATTCAATATACGCACCAGGAGGACGCTGGTGACCCAGGTGAGACCCACTGCTAGTTTGGCGTCCACCGCATGCACCACTGAAATACGGCTGCCTGCGCTTTCCATATCGGTTCGCCGGGTCGAATGACAATAATAATAATGAGTAATAACCAATAATAATCCCCMAGCCGTCCATTCAATCTTCGGTCATCACATATTAAACAGTAATGCATAAAAACGCTAATACAAAATATACTACACACACATTGCAGCTATYCGTATTTTTTCGTCCTTATATACTTGTATAAGTTTTCGCATGCATTGTTGTTAGAAATCAAAATTTTCCTTTTACTATTTGTGCATTCGTAAAATCGTTGGTATGCAATAATAATATTTTATAAGTAWAAGTCTAAAAATCAATAATCTCAAATATCGAGTATAGTTGAGTCATAGGAATTCCCAATAAAATGTACACTACAACAAACAGTACAATAGGATTGAACTTCTGTATTTTTATTTTTTAAAAGAGTCGTGGTAAAATATAATAACAATATACTCTTATGACACTTATACATAAAAATTAAATATTTTGATGGACACTCGCACTCGTATCTTCAGTCCCTAAAATTGTGTGTAGTATGACACACTTATATATAGTATAGTATGAAAAGTGCAGTGGGTATAGTACGAAATTTAAAAATGTGTTATACACATTAAACCTTTTAAAAATATTATATACAATTTTAATAGAA